ACCTGCCCACAAAGGGGCAGTTGAATGTTATATGAGAATGACACCTAATTTTGCATTGTGTCAAGTGCATGATCTTATGTCATCAGAAGAAATTTCAGCCACTCAGGGTCTGAATCTGATGCATAGCACCAGCAATTCTAGACATTGTAAATAATTGGTTACTGATGACCCCATAGGAAATAATTGATGCAATGAAGGTTTGGGTCGTTGCAAATCTTTACTGCTATGGTTGCACTGAAATCAAAAGCTCCTCTTGATTCTGAAGAACTGGTGGCGATGTATCTTTTCCAGCACCTGTATTTATGAATGTGTCTGTTTCTCCAGAAGGGGTATGATTGGCATGTTGTATGTGCATGGTTATAGGTGCACAACATGCAACCAGACACTTACAGTTCTAGGTGCAGAGGCTAGACCAGAAGAAGTCTTGTACAGGAGTTGTGAACTCTCATACACAAATGCTCTTTTTGTCTGTGTCATGCTGAGGATTTTGTTGATTTTGAGGAAAATTCATCTTGATTTCCTTGGGAAGCTTCTGCTCCAGATTTCTCCCTCTGCCAGAGTAATAATCCCTTCATGGGTACCCTTGTGACACATGGGAAGCCCATCAATGCTAACTGGTAGAGGGCATATCATACCATACCTTTCATTAGGCCTGACACACTCATCACCCAAACTCACTGTTGTCAGTATTTGTAGCTAACAGTTGTCATATAAGATGTATACAAATTGGTAAGATGCTGGTATTAATATTATTGCGTGCTGTATGTACTGGCAGTGTATAAAGATTATAGACAGGTGCTGGAAATATCTTCCTAAAATGTGTTTGGCAGGCAGTGCCTAAGCCCAGCCTATCCTAGACAATTTTGCCAGGTTGACTATGTCTCCAGTGAAAATTAAACAAGACCAAAGTCAATGAAAAGGATATTTACATGCAAGCTAAACAAAGCCATCAAACAAGTAAGCAAGTAGAGGACCCACTTCAGTATGTTGGTGGGGGGGAGGAAATGGTGATAGGAATGACAACTCTGGATCCTTTCAGGGCTCCTCCCCTCTCCGCCCAGGTCTGTTGCAGGATTTACTCCCTGAGCAAGCTGGATAGCTTCCTCCTCCTCCTTAGACTCTTTCCTTGAAAGCTCAGGAACTCCTGATCAGATTTTTCTGCATTGGCACTAAGGCTCCTTGGGGCAGGCTGGGAACCCAACATGCTGGTTTGACTCTGAGCTTCGTATCCTGGCAGTGCAAGGGTTAGCTGGCTGGGAACAGGCAGGGCATAATTCACCCTCTTAGAGCCTCACGTAGGGAACACTGTCTAGATTTAAGCCAGGTATTTGCAGGGAGTGGCTGTATTGGCAGATCCAGGTGGTTGAAGCCACAACACTGCTATTTACCTGATCCAGGGGAGAAGGAGGCGAAGTTGCCACTACACAAAAACGAATAACGATAAAAGCTTTTAAAATCAAAACGATTGGGAGAAACTGAACTGTCAAACTGGTTTCACTGCCAGAGGCAGAAAATCTGGTTGCCTGAACTGAAGGGCAGAGTTTAGTCCTAGAGGCTCCAGCAACAACACTGGACAACTTCCAAATGCCACAGGTGGAGGGTATTAGCCCATGAGTAATGAATGGGGAGAGAAGCTGGGCCACAGAATTCCCTCTCACCATGTGGACTGTTACAGTAATAAAGGGTGAAAATGATTTAGAAACCAAACCAGCATAATTAAGTAACATTTATTTTACATAGAACAATCTCCAAAGAATACATTTAAAAACTGATTTTATTGCATTTATTTACTGATTTTATTTATTTTCGTACAAAAGACAGACAGGCGCAATTTAAGTATTCAAATACCTCAAGTAATTAAAAAAAAACCCCAAACCTACCGATCAATATTCAGCTTGCCCCTTAAATTAAAAGGCTGTGAGTAGAAAGTTTTACTTACCCGAGACAGTAGTGCATTTTTATTTAGTAGGAATAAATCACAAAATATATTTTGTACAAGTAAATGTTATTGTAACTTTATAATTACCTACAAAATTTTATTTCAAATTGCACAGGTGTTTGCTTTACAATTGACAACTGCCAGAAAACAGGCTTAGCATTTAACTATTTGCCAAAAATATCCCTTAGAAACAAATTAGGATTTCTTTCAGAGAATACTTCAAAAGTCTAATAACTATATTATGTAACTTGGATCATTTAAAAATATAAATGTTTTCACAGGAAGAAGTGTCTATATTTATGTCATTGAACTAAATTTATTTTCTGTCTACTTTAAAAACCAGCCCTCCCCTCTGGCCCCGAAATAGCTGAGTGTCACTAAATAATGACATACTTTCCAATCAAAGTTCCAACACCACAGTGAAATCTGGAAATGTTTAAATTAATCTATTTTCTAATTTACTACTGCAGTATCAAATGATGAAAAAGGCACGTAAGTATATTCTTCTGAACAGTTTGGTCTTTTTTTGACATCAAAAACAATGTCCAATGATAGCAACCGCAAACAAATGTTTAAAAGCAAAAATACTGAACAGACATTCCTACTGATTTGATGCAGAGTCCACAATATCTGCCATCTTCATTTTCCATAGAATTTCTTGTTCAACAGGAATATGAGCAGGTTTACATTCACTTTAGCTTTATCAAACATTTTCATTACAGCTACACCTTCATACTGCATCTGAAGCAAATCCTACAGTTAAGAAAAAAAAGTTAGCCTTGGCTTGGGTTCACACTTTATGATTCCCAATTTGAAAAATAAAACAAATTGTGGTATTTATTTACAAGTCTAGAGCCTCAAGCTCCAGATGCTTCACAGCTGAAGTGACATTTAGTAACTAATTTTTGACACACTTACTGTACTGTCATACATATAAACTAAAATTATCCCCCTCTGCATACCCAATCTCAGCCTGATCTTAATATCCTACCTCAGTAACACTGTTACATTCCACCCATTATACTATACTGCTCCAATAGTTTATGAAAAATCAGAAAGGGTAGATTTTTAGCTTAAATACAAGTTTATTTAGGTCCAATAAAGCAAATTTAAACTTTACCTGGAAATGGAGTTCCACTTTTTCCATCTGAACACCCAAGAATTTTGCTTTGATTTCAAAGTCACCCATTTCTTCACCAGGTGTGATATCAAACATAACATTTTTAAACCTTAAAAAAATTGGATGTATAAATGTATGCCACACAATTTCACATGATCAAGAAACAATAGAGAAAGCCATGAAAACAAGATTTGTACTAAAAGCACTAGTATTTTCCTAAGCACAGTATGCACTCATGACAAGTACATAATTTGAAACCATAGGTATTACTACTGCGCCTGTGCCCAACAGTAGCAGAATCTGGGAGACTGCAGGGCAGTTTCTGGTTTGGAACAGAAATCAGTAGCGCAGAGTTGGGTATTTTCTTAGGCTATATTTACACTCTCAGTGCTTTACAGTATAGGAATACAAGCATATGATACCAGCAGAGTGCTCCTGGTGTGGATTCAGGAACCCTGGCAAAGCTGTGCTTTGTACTCGTATACTAAAACCACCTCCCATAAGTAGAACAAGCATACCAGTAAAGGAACAGTTTTGGTAGTACAACTGCTTCTACAATAGGGGCTTCTGCTAGCATAGCTGCATCAGCAAGGGATCACACCCCTGACTAACACTGCTATGCCAGCCGAAGTCTGCAGTGTAGACATGTCTACACTGCAATTTATTTACAAAATGTACACACAAGTTCTGTTTCCTTAAAGGGAAGAGGTAACAAATGGCACACAGGCAGCACCCTGTATTGTAGAGTCCCGTTCCTCTGTCCCCAGAAGCTTCTGTCTCAAAACCTCAGTCTCTCTCCAGGATCCCATACAAATCTAACTGCTTAACGAAATTGTGCCCACTGCCCTTTACCTCCCTCTGTCCCTGTTAGTGTCCCCATGCTGAACTGATCTCTCGTCTCTGATCTGTTCAGCTTTTTAAGAGCCCAAGCAGCTTGGACCACTGCTGATCTTTAACTTAGTATGTGTAATATGAAGTAGAGCCAAGAACACATTTCATCTTTAGGGAAAAGGTCTTTTTAGCTTTATGTACCAGGACATTTGGGTCCTGGCGTATCAGGTGGCTATCAGTGAGGCTCTGAAAACACATGAGTCTTGAAGTCCCTTCTGAGAGTGGCCTCTATCTTTCCATCTACCAGGGCATTTGATAAGATATCCTTCCCTTAGGAAGAGATGCTAAGACACCATGTCCTTTGCCAGGGATATTACTGCTACATCAGCCTCAGGGGAGCTAGAAAACACTGTTAAGGTGCTAGAACCAGGTAGAATTTCAGGACTTGAATAGCCTTTTCCCCTTTTGTTGGGTGTTTGCCACTCCTTCCCCAATTACTTCACTGGAGCAACGTAGTAGGGAGATGGAAAGTTCTCTGTTTTGGATGAGTAATAGCTGTCCTTAGTTTTAGCTTAGTAAGGCTCTCTCTGGCTACATCTTGATGGTGTCTTCAACCTTCCTCTCCATGGTTTCAAACATGCCTGAAGGAAAGAACTTCTCATGCTGCTTTAAGTTTGGGTTTTTCACAAAGCCAGGAGTTCTCCAAACAAAGCTCCTTCTTTGGAAGAGAAACTGGAGCTCATGGAAGATGAAGATCTAGGGTACTTTGTATTTTCTGGTGTTTGGCTTCTTTAAAAATATATATATTCATTTTGCCTTTGGGAATGAAGTTTCATTCGGATTGGGGGCCCACTCTCCCATTGCACTTGGGGCTTTTGAGGTGTAGCTCATGTGAAGGGAAGGAGGGAGGGTTGAGCTTTTGCGCTTCTCATCCTTGAATATGTTATTGGAAAGGAAATGCAAAGAAGCATCCTCCTAAGGGACTGGATTCTCCTCTTTAAAGAAGGCTAGTTGGAAAATATGCCAGACTCCTTGCTCTTGACAATAACTCACTTAAGTGAACGGGAAGGAACTCTGGAAATTTTTTTTTTAAATAGACCGGACCAGTTGATTGTGAGAGGTGTTAAATTAATGAGCCCCCCTCAATTTCCATCAAAGAATCCCTGATTAGTACCACTGGGGCTCTACCAAGCCTCACCACCAATGTGAGCTGACCCATCCTTGCTGAAATGTCTCTAGGGGAGTCTTGACTAGTGTGTGAAGAAGAATGCAGGGACCTCAACATGTCATTGAAATGCTGCATAGTTTTCTTTAGAAGAACAAAGGTCCATGAACCTTTGAAAAGTGTGACAGAGCTGTCTTTTCTATAGCTTCTGAAAAAGGTCTCCTCACAAATGAAGTACTCCTTGATTTTCAGTTTGTTCTCTTCAGTTTGCTCAGTAGGATAGAACTCCGCAGGTTGTCCTGTTTCGGAGGGCGGGAATGACAAAAAGCACCCTGAAAATTTTTTGGTCCTCTAAGGGAGAAAGCGTGAGATATTTTGCTTGCAGGTGTCCCAGAGTTATGAAACCTAGGATATTGGATAATGCAGAAGACTTCAACAACCAATTCTGTTTGCACTGCCAAAAGCAGAGAATCTGGGACAAGGGTGGAAGGAAGCACAGAGAAGTCACGTGTGACCTCTCTCTGGTATTTGCAGGAAGAGAGCTGAAGCCCAAGTGTCTCAGGAGGAGGGAGAAGTCAGGATTCAGAAGCTTCAAAACTGAATTATTTTCACTAATGGCAATTTCAGCATAATGCCTGCTTTACTCAAAAGTTTATTAAAGTGATTACTCAGTGGATGAAAAGGCAATAGCTGCTCAGCAAGTCAGCTGTATCAACACTTATTAAATTACTTTAAATGGAACATCTAGAAGTTTGCTATAATGTTGCAATAATATGGTGCCTATTCTTAAAAAAAAAAGTTGCAAACTACAAAGACAATGGGGAGAAAGTTAATTAGGATATGCAACTGTAATTTCCCTTCCTAATGTATAAAAATCTCTACAGTAATGTGAGGAAAAAAGAATGCTGGCATTTCTGAACTTTTACCAAAACAATGATTAGTTAAAGAGTTGTCAATTTCCTTGGTTCTGAGCAGGTTTAACGTCATACTCACTGGTTGGTTTGAAGATCTTCAATTTCTAGAATGACACCTTTTTCATGTAGTCTTGCTGCTGTGTACTTTAGTGATGTGTGCTTAAGTTTTTTGCTTCCCTTCTCTTCTACTTTTCCATCTAATTTAATTGACCTCCGAGAATTTCTGTAGAAGAGAAAAGTTTGTGGTTAATCCACCACCAAACACATTTCTCCTTCAGACTTATTTCTTTCCTCTTCTCCATAGTTCTTAGCAAAGGAACGGCTAACAAAGAGTTTAGTTCTTCCTTCACTCCTGTGTGTTCTTCTGAAGGCTCTCGTTAACTGTAACTAACTTTCACATAAAAAAATAAAAATTTAACAATAGAAAGAAACAAACTGGAGGAAAAAAGAAAAGGAACAGATCTGAGCATTACTGGAATTACTATTAGACAGAAAAAACAGGAGACATTTTGTCTGAATAATCTAAATATTTTTGTAAAGATTTTCAGCTGCTGAAAACTTAAATTTTAGCAGCTAGTTATATTTAACTTATAGTAAGATGTAAAGTGATAGAAGTGACAACAGATTTTCTTTCTTTTAAAAACAAAAAAACCCAAAGTCCTTCTCCCTTAAAGAACCCACAACTTATGTCAACAAAACTTTACATTGTGTACTCTTAGTTGTGGCTTTATCTCAAGAGTAATGCAGTAATCCAGGAGTGAGTTATGCCGATCATCCCAGACAAGTGTCAAATACTTGCATCACAAAGCATATTTTAGCAAAGAAATATTTTAAAAAGTTAGTACTATTCTATATCCCTCCACCTTCAAGCAAGTTGCCTCAGAGTGAGAAGGAAAATAATAGTGATGCCCCAATGCAATGTTGCACATGGAGCTTGCACATGCGTACTCCCACTGGTAAACTCCAATTAAACTTTCCAATTTAAGACCAATAAATTGAAAACATACCTGTCAGACTTTTTTTTATATATATATATATATATATATAATAAAGTA